TGTTCTACCGGCTCTACCTCTTTCTTAATAGCGTCAAGCCATTTTTGGGGTACCTTGTTAAACTATCGGCCTTGTTCTGCTGTGATCTGACCAGCTGTATGTCTACGGATAAGTGGTATTCACTTACCAACTTTCCCAGTGTGTCTAGCCTCCTTCGAATGAGCATCTCGCTCGCAGCCTTTGTATGTATCCTAGCCTTCCCCGTAAGAGTGTCTGCTATCCACTTATACACGCATGCGAATCCGTGAATAAATGCAATACCTTTGCATTCCATTGAAGGGCCGCGGTGACTCCCCTGATAACGGCGTCTAATTCTGACAGGTTGATATGTTGCGTATCCTTCTCGACGCAACCAACACGCATCTTCCACGACAGTGTCACCTACTTCAAGAGACACTCCTGTTGCAAGGAGCTCGCGTCGACCCAGACGTTAAATTCACATCCGTCAACGCACCATTTACCACGTACGGGGTCGTCTTGACGCACCCTAGTAATGACTTCCCCTATCATGTGTCTAAGGGGAGCATCATTGGTTGTGTCATCCCAACCGAAGTGACAGCAGTCACCCTACGTTTAATAAATGCAGTTGCAATGCGGATCCACCCGCCCACGGGAAAATGTCCCACCAGCTTTCCACATAACGAAAACACGCTGCGTCGGGTCATGTGTTTGGGAATATCCGGGAGCTCCTTCCACGTTTCCAGTAAAAGCATGTTGTGCTCCCCCAGACCTGCAAGCCGAGCACCCGAGCACCATCCTCCAGTCGTTCTGGGTTTTACATTCGAGCCCAAAGTCAGCAAGATGCTTTCTCACCTGTGAAGCGGGTACTAAGGTTTCGTTGATGTAGATGTCGTCAATGTAGGCTGACGTCGCTTGACGAATTGTCTCATCCTGGGATAGCACAGCATCCACGATGGCTTTCATGATGGCCGGCGCCACATCCCATTCGGGTTAAGCAGTACCTCGTCCCATTAAGAATCACCGTCTGAAATGGCCACAGTGACCGGTGCACGCGTACCTGCAAGTAGGCCTTTCGAAGGTCAATCACAGAGACATTGGATCCCTTCGTTCGCCATTCTCTCAATTTTTGTGCACACACATCAGCATGAGCTGTGTATGTGTCTACATGTTCGTTCAGTTCTCTATAATCTAGTACAGGGCGCACCTTTCCTTGTTCTTTTGTACCACGGCCATCAACGGATGAGGCCTCTTGGAGGACCAAGCTCTTCCTCGGATATGGAGTCAGCCATCCGTTATCCAGCCACACCTGCAATTCGCGCTGGTATTCTTCCATGACGCGTTCGGGCACCGAATATTCTGACACTCGGTTCTGGAGCTTTTCTGGTGGGTTATTTTCCGACCATTTCCAAAATGCTGTCCATGTCTTCGTCCTTTGGTCGAACTCTGCGCTAAAGTCGGGCTCGTTGATCTTCAAAATAGCACAGATGGGCGGATCAGAAAAACTTGACTTCGCCTGCCTCTGTAATGCGTACGCCGCCCAGCTCCTTAATAATGTCCATCCCAAGGAGCAGATCGAAACCTAATAACGCGCTGTCCACGACCAACACACTGACTGTGACAGGGTCACCGTTGTTAATACTAAGTTTGATGTTTCCAACTCCCCGGCTTCTGAGAGCCTTTCCATCAGCCGTTAGTACGTCCATCTTTTGTCTGCTCCACTGTCGGCAAATCGAACCGTTGGTGAGTGACCGAGAGCAGCCAGAATCTATTAAAGCGGTACGCGTTATTCCATTGATGCGTACCTTAATCACAGGGAGCGCCACTTTCATGCTCGGGTGCGGGGAAGAGACCGGCGCTGACGTCGCGTCCCCATTCCATTTCCCGGCACTTAGAGGCAATATGATCTACTTTCTGACATTGAAAGCATCGTAGATCGAGCCGTGCCTTTCGCGCCGACCCGCCGCGCATTTCTTCGCGTTGATAGCGGCAGTCTCTGGCAAAATGATTCGGCCCAGAGCACCGACAGCAGGTGGCAACGCCATGGTGACGAATGGCTGGGGTCGGACCTTCTTTGACTTCAATTGGTTGAATAACCGCGGCCACTGGTTCATCAGCCTCCTTTTCGTCGATCATGACAGCACGGGCTCTGGTCAACAATTGATTGAGCGTCAGGTCTTCCATTCTGGATGATGCGCGGAGTATCTGCTTAACATGACTGGGCAATCCAGAAACGAAGGCACATGTCATCCATTCTTCAGGAAGCGGTGCGATTGGAACGGCGAGCTTCTTTAATTCTGCCAAATATACGTCTACTGTCTCGCCAGGTCGCAGACGCCGTGCCTGGAATTGGTCGTAGGCCACGAACCGGTCAGTTCCAAACGCGGTTAGTAGAGCGTGCTTTATTTGCTCAATGTCGCTTTTCTGTTCTTTACTCAGCTGCCTATACACAGCAAGGGCACCGCCATTCAATCGCAGAGGAAGAATCCGATCAATCTTCGATATCTCGCATAATTCGCAGACCAGTTCCACCTTTTCGATCCATTCAACCACAGACTGTCCACTAGTATCACCACTGAATTCGGGGATCAGTTTTATATCGAACGGTCTTTCCGCCATTTTGCGAGAGACAAAGTAAATGCCGAAATAGCTTGAAGAGTAAGCGTTCTCAAAACAAATTTGTGGCTTTCACAACACAAAGAAAGAGAATCACTTGTAACACGTCAGGAAAATAACTCACGAACGCCGTAGCCAAAACTGCCTGAATTTTTCCTCGCGAGTCGACAACACCAACTGCTTTTATCGGCAGAACCTATTTTTCCATTCGTCGACAGCCGGGATAGGATGCTCCGTAATTTGCATATTAATACACTCTTATAGCGACTCCTGCGACGAACTTGTTTCTTTTCGCTTGGGTTGACGAGGTAAGTCGCTATAAGAGTTTTGCTGACTACTTTTCTTTTGGCAATCCCTCCCCGGCAGATCGCAACAAAAAATACGAACTTTTTTCCGGGGTACTTGATTATCTCGTTCACTACACTACCTAACGAGCTTGTGTAAATGGTTGTCAGAACAGGGATTAGGAGAGATCGCATAAAGACAAGCCTTACGACAAAAGACAGGAAATTGCTGGAAATAGGAAACAAAGAAGAAACTTAGAATCCGAAAGAGTCAGTTGAAATTTGTAGGACACGTAATGAGGAAAGAGGGCTTGGAAAAGTTGACACTCACAGGACATAATAAATGCAACAGAGACAGAAGGAAACATCAGTTAGGAAACCTAACGAGCTTATGTAAATGGATGGAAGTATAGGGAATTTTAGCAAAGAGAGGAAAATGTGATACTGAAATCCGAAGGTGAACTGGAATAGAAAAAGATGTTTCCCAAAAGTTAAGCAAAGTATTAAGAAACAGGAAATTTTCATGAGAAACATCAAGAATGCTCAACTGCTATGTTATATCGAGGTGACGGAAATATAATTCTACAGAGAACACCATCGACGGAGCATGTGAACTACAAGGAAGTTTGAAGAAAAATGCAAATAAAATGAACATTTATACATAGAATCAGAGAGTTGAAAATTCTAGGACACAGAACGAGGAATGAGGGCTTCGAGGATTTGACACTCACAGGTCATATTGAGTTCAAGAGGGTGGAGACTAATATCTAGTAATTTACTTAATGAATTTACTCCACCGTGCCAAGAGTAAGTTCATTAAGTAAATTACTAGATATTAGCCTCCATCTTCATGTCACGGTGGAGTAATGGATAGCGGCTTGAATTGAGGAATCGGAGAGCCGAGTTCGAATTCCAGTCGAGTCCATTACATTCACTTACGTGCTAACACCCTTGTGAATCCTCTTTCTTCTCCCTCCAGCTATGGGTAAATAGCAGGATAGACTGGGTTCTATAGCCTTGGATGGCAACTGGTCTAGGAGAAGGAAAACTCTGAATTCAAACCTGCTCTTAGAGGAGGGTGAATGGAGTCTCTCTGAGCCTTGGTTGGCAATCCATTTAGTGTTGGTGTCACGATAAAAACACCCTTGATAGCCCTAGCGAAGCATCAAGAGTTCAGCTATTTGACAAGATTATGAACTACACCAATCAAAGTATTGGTGAGTTCAATCTCAGCTGAGGCCGCAAGATGATGATGAATGAACTTATGTAAATGGATGGCAGAACAAGGTATGGGGGGGAGTAAGAAGTCAAGCATTAGTTAGAAATATGAAGAATAGGAAATTGTAGAGATTGATTGAACACAGCGCATAAAGAACGAAGTATTTACAATAATAATTATCAAAACTTGTCATTATATCTTGCGTGTACTTGCTGAAATAGATTTGTGGGGTAGTGACTCATGAAAAGAGATATTTACGTGCAGACGAAAAAGTAGTTGGCCGATGATAGTGTCTGCACATAAAAACGCGTCCAAAGCCGACATGTTTCAGTGAATACCTCTATAAGCCTCCTCACCCACAATTTTACACACATTTACATTCGTCGACGTTTTTCTGGACGTTTACGGAGACCAAACAGTGGACATGAGCTTTGTTCGGCAGTGGGCTTTAGAACTGGTGAGAGCGATATACATCACAATACATGTAACGAGCGGTTCGGTTCAGTTGGTCTACTTTCGAAATTCCTTAGTCAAAATAAATGCGGCTTGTTAAATGTGATCCCGACATCCGTTGAAGTGCGGCACAAGAAGAATTATAGGACGCGTCCATTCGGTGCCATCGCAAAACCTGCGGGAAGAATGGTCGGTTCCTTGTATCGTTCCAGAAAATACCAAACTCCCGCTGCCATTTCTGTCTTTACAAGAGTCAGATCAAGCAAAGAATGGAGTTTTGGCAAAATTGGGACTTCGTGCATGGAAAAAAAGTCTGTCAAAAGGGCGTTTTTTGCCATTGATGCTGCTATTATTTGAACTACCATAACTCCTCAGCGACGTTTATTGTTTTAAAAAAGCCAACTGGAACTCAGCTCCGATGAACAGTTCCGAGCCATAATCCATTACATCACCCACATAGCCAAGCTTAAAGCACCTAATATTCACAAGCAATCACCCATCTAAGTACTGACCAGGTCCGACGTTGCTTAACTTCGGTAATCGTATGGGAACTGATGTTTCAAAGTGATATGGGCATTATCCTTTTACACCACCCACACATCCAAGCTTACAGTACCTGGTATTCCCAAGCAGTAACCAATTTAGGTATTGACCAGGGGCAACGTTGCTTAACTTCGGTGATCGTATGCGAACCGGTGTTTCAACGTAATATGGCCGTTAGCTCGCTGGAAAAGGGATGCCTTATCGATGTTAGAAAGATTTGCCACATCTTGCAGCTGTTTGTTATTTTAATGCCATGACCTTTCATGACGTAGGCGATCATAGCTCTCCACAGTCTCCTTTTCGGGGGGGATTTGGCGTGACTTCATGCAAAAAATAGTGGAGCATTTTCTTCTTCACGGTTTTGAATCAAGGGTTTTTATTTTCTTAGACTGGTTGCCAGTCAAGCCTAGCGGACCTAGTTGGCCGGGAGGGGAGACGGATGCATGCCTTTCCCGTTGGTGCGAAAGTAAACGCAACAGATTCGGCTGAAATTTGGACACGGTAACCTTTGCACTGCATGCGCATCCAACTACATGTCTGTCAAATCCTAACTGCAAGAGCGCTGTGCAGTCGTCAACACATTAACTGAATGCAGCTATTGTTCAAAATGGACGTCCCATTGCACCCAAAACGTTTTGAATTTTTTTCTTTTTTGCGGTTAAATGCCTATATTTTTAATAAGTGCTAAATATTCTCAGGTTATTACCATACATTCACACACGCACATACACACAGACACATACACACACATATTTATTGTTTATACGTTATTTTTATAGATACAAATATTTAAGTAAATGCTCTGTTTATAATAAACAGTATTAACAACATTTACCGGCCTGAATGGCCAAGAAATTTCATAGAAAATATGTAGCCTCCGACAGGAATTTTTACCTGGTATATATATATATATATATATATATATATATATATATATATATGCTCTCGAAATAATTCTATTGAGCTCTTGGAGAGGAAGGGGTGATTTTATAAACAGTGGCTGCTGCTGCTAATGCAATGCTCTTCTACTCTAATCGAGCTCTCCTAGCCACTGTCATCTTTCGTAAAGTAAAAACGTTAAAATTTCCCTTCCGCTCTGTCGTGCGACGATAGCTTGGGGTAGAATCTCTAACTGATGCCAAATCGGTCGGGTTTCGATCCCGGCTTGAAGCAATCGGATGTCTAGCCGTGAAACAGTCTGTCTGGGGATGACTATATATATGGTGTATCAACAATACATTTACAAACTTTGGTGGGGGGTTCTGACATCAAAACAAGGTAAAATGTCCATACAAACATATATCCAAAAGACCATCGGTATACAGCAACTCATAACAAATGTTTAAAATGTCCTCCGCTTCCTTCTACACACGCTTTCAGCCGTCGGATCATTGACTGGCGGACTCTTTCAAATGCTCCCACATCGCAGACCCCTATGACACGGTGCTGCAGCGTCTCTGTATTATTAATGTCTGTCGCATAAACCAATTGTTTTAGGTTGTCCCACAGATAAAAATCCAATCATGCATGAACCACATATATTTTCGTATTAGCAGGAGCACATCCTCTTTCAGGTCTTGAAGTGTATTCGAAATAAAGTCCCTGTATACAGCTCCTGTAAGAACAGATGGACCTACCTGACAGTCACCTACAATTCCAGCCCAGACATTAATCGTAAATTGATGCTGGTGTCTAGCCTGTATTGTACCATGGTGATTCCGATCCACCCACAAATGTTGGTTGTGTACATTTTTTATTTCATCTCTTCTAAATGTTGGCTCACCCGTAAACAGGACTGAAGAGATAAAAGAAAAAAAAACGGATCAGCACTTTGTGCAATAAACCATCGGCAAAGGTTCTCAGGTGATGAGTAATCAAAGGGCGAAAGAACCTGTGGCAGGGGGTTGATTATTTGAAAATGATTCAGGTACAGTAGCTACCCTTGAAGTACCCTTAATGCGGTACTATGAAGTGTACGACAGGCTAGGGCAACATGACTTGCTGATACTTGGATCGTCTCCGACAGGCTGTGGAATGTGTTCTTCGTGGTCAAGCATACGGGCGGATCTCGGAATTCCTCGATCCATAGTTTGTGGTGCCACGAATCTTGTCTAAACAGCAGCAAAGATTGAATGACTCTGCTGCTTTGGGTCTAGAAATGCAATCTAATACAGCCATGCAGCCTCACTTCCATTACGATTCGCGCGGCCGTATGTAAAAATCATATCTGCCTACTCACAATATGAATATCCTGTCATTGTTAAACGGAACACTTCTCAGTTAACTCATTACTACACACGTTACAGGTTGAAGACAGACTAGCCACAAATGTACACGAATGACAAATATAACCTAGTCATCATGACGACACAGCGCCATCTACCGTAAACTTTCTTTAAATTTAACAACTCAATAAACGAAGAATTTGCGGACATATGTCTATATGGTTTTTTTATCTTTGTTTTGGTGTGAAGAACCTGCAACCCCCCCCCCAAAGTTCGTAAAATATTTTTAATACAACCTCTATAAATAATAATAATCTCGGATTAAAAATAAATCTATTTAGTCTTTAGAAATTGATTTGTTTACGTTTTGGATATGAAACTCATCAGTTATGGGTTTTCGAGAGAAATAACCTGAACGAGGAAGTATACTTTCCTTAAAAGGGAAAAAAGAGCTTTGCTAAATCGTGACGCTCTCTGTAGTCGCGTGGTAAAGCGCGCCGGGTCAGACGATGGTTTCTTTTACGAAGACACGGATTCGGTTCCTACTAGGGAGCACATTTTTACAGTTCGAAATAAAAATGAAGCATCTATTTGAAATACGAGTATCCACTATAATAACGCTTGAGATAATAATAATATATGATAAAAATTGGATAAAAATATAGTTTTGAGCTATACTATACTTATGGGTTAAAATGCTTAATATCAGGGATAGAACGTATGTAAAGGTTTCCTTTTGCCTTTTTATATACAGGTGGCCTAAAGATTGCGTTTAAGCATGAAATTGACCGTCGCCGATGAGTGTTGACTAAGGAATGCAGTCCTTTTGGAAATCTGCTATGAAAATAGTAATAGTGTAATGATAGGCGAGGGATGTTTTATCTGTGAGGAAGGGGTTGTAAGTGGGGAAATAATTTATCGCCTACAAGGACGCGTAAACGCCTTTGAATGCTATCAAAGCTGGAAAATGGGAATTTGACATGTTGAAAATCCAGATGAGGCATCAATACATTGTTTTTGGTCTGATCTGGTCCCTGTAAAGTTGGAGTATTACGGAATGAATCAGCTATTTTCTTTTTCCCAGCGTCTTTAGTCGTGGGTCGTATGTATGAATTCCACTTCAGGTCTGGAATGTGCTGGAGTGCGAATAATGAAAAACAATCGTATTGAGATTGTAACCATTAAACTGAGAGCCTGCCTTATGGTTTTAAAGAAATTTTTCGACCTCCTGAACTTATTAAGGTCACCCAGTTTATTAATTTTGCACTTCAAAGCTCATATAGGAAACAGTAATTATTGCTGGTTCAAGTTTTTACTTGCACACTTTTATGATTGCAGTGTGTAAAATAGCATTCCATTGTCTTTTTTTTTATTCTTTCCAAAAATAACATTTTTTGATAAACTTAATTTTTTTAAAAATCTCTTTAAATTCCAAGTTTTTGATAATTTAAATGATTTTTTAACCTTCCTCTTTATTAAGACCTCCTTTATTGCATACTGACAAAAATTCCAACCTCACTTCCTTTCTATTAAAAACCTCTCTTAGCTGTCTAAAACAATGGCTGGGAATGTAAGGCGAGACACATTAAAAATCGAAAAATAAAAACGAACAAAAATAAACATAAATAAAATAAAAGTAAAATAAATAAGCAAAAATAAGTTAAATAAATTAATCCAGACCAATAAATAAGTAAATATTAAACAAATTAACAAACCACATACGCACAGATAAACACAAGTAAACGTAATAATAACAACCAACAATAATTAATTTAAAAAAAAAATAACAAATAACACTATAAATTGCCAAAAAGTGCAACTAGATGCAAAATTATTTTGCACCCAATAACCCTCGAGAATAATTTGAAACATAACCGTCAAAACCCATCAAAACAACGATTAGAATCATACAATAGACTACCCACAATACATCACTGTCCTGTTTATATAAATAGTCGAATAAAAACACAACACATAATACATAAAACAGACTTTCGTTGCTGGGTGTTGACTTCAATGTCCGCTTTTATATTTACATAATATATATATAATTATATATTAGTATAGAGGTGGGTAAATCAAATAACTAGATATTACCGATTGTATATACGTGCGTTAGCGTGCATACACAGGTAAGCAAATGAATATTTACTCACTTTACTTTCAGGTGTTAACATAACAGTGCTCAATGTGGTTAGACAGAGCTAAGAAATATATATTAATAAATATACTTATACCTACGTTTGGAGTGCGACTTAATATTACTTATGATTTAAAAATAAATAATATATATTATTTAAAAAAATCATATGTATATATATTTCGTGCGTGATGTGTTGGTAAAACAACGGAACTTAAGATGCACTCCAAACGTAGGTATATATATGTATATTTATTAATATATACATACTTACATATATGCACACACACACACACACATATATATATATGCATCTATACTAGTTATTGTTTTATTATTATTAGTTATTACCCACCTCTATACTAGTATATATATATATATATATATATATATATATATATATACGTTTTTCATTAAATAATATAGACAAGTGTTGTCTATTTATTTTATGTAAATCTTTTCGTAACGCCTGATACATTTAATAACATTATCGTTGAACGAAGGAAGAAATTCACAATATTGATCCATATTTTTTAATACAATCTAAGCTTTTTTTTGTCTATATTATATAATGAAACGTGTATGAATGAAAAGATGCTGCCTAAATACACACAATATATATATATATATATATATATATATATATATATATATATATATATAAATATAAATTATAAATTTCATCTCCAAGCAAGGCATTAAAGCCACTATGACACAGGGGTTATTGAGTGGGAGAGAATATATGAAAGAAAAGACATTATTAAGGAGAGAGAAAAATACATTATACAGAAAAATAAATTATTAAAATTTAGAAACGTGTAATAGACAAAGAAAAAAAGAACTGAATGACCTCCTATATGGCATTGAATGGTGGACAGTTTCTTCACATATGATGAGGAAACATGAAGCAACACTAATGACGTTCCACAAAAGGATGCCGAGAATACCATGGATGTCGGATGTGAGTGGCAAGGAAAAGTTTTTTGAGGAAAATGGAAACAAAATGGCCTATGCATAGAATCAGAAAGAAGTTGAAATTTCTGGGTCACATAATGAGGAAAGCAAAACTGGAGAATCTAACACTCCTATGACGAGACATATTGATGGGTAGATGGAAACATTGATTAACCTATCTAACGATCTTGTGAAAATGGCTGACAGAACAGGCCCTGGGAAGTATTACTTAGAGCGGGGATTCTCAACCAGGGTCCACATGGGCCCTAGGGGTCCATGTAATATTTATGGGGGTCCACAGACAAAAAAATAACAAATTGGGGGTCGCAATGATATTTTGGTGGTCCATGAAGAAAGCCAACTCAGAATTATTTTTATTATTAAAAATTAAATTTCTACTATAATTTATATATATATATATATATATATATATATATATATATATATATGTGTGTGTGTGTGTATATATATATATATATATATATATATATATATATATATATATATATATATATATATATATATATATATATATATATATATATAATAATTCTTTATATTTCTTTTATTTCTTTCATATAGGTATCTCCACTGAATTTTCGATACCTAAGGTTTAAAATTAATTGCTACGCTATTGCTTTTTTTATTTCTTTCCAAAATCTTATCTTTTAAAATTGAATCAAAATCTTATTTAATCAGATTTAGTCGTGTTTCTCAACTATTATCAAAAATTCGCAATAGATTTGACATTTTGAAAAGAGGTGATCTTCGACTATCATTAACATCAATGGAACCAGATATAAAGAAACTCGCTGAGCAGCATCAACCACAAGGATCTCACTGAATAAATATGCCTTTCTTTTTTTTCTAATCACACATTTAAATTGGTTTATTAAAATTTTTAACCAGTGTGCATAAATAAATGATGAAGAAATTCAATTGCCTGAAGAAAACATTGTAATACAAGATATTGGTCAATAACAATTATAATTACTATAATTATTATTGCTATTATTATTATTATTGTAGAATAATTTATTTGCATTAAATAAGTTTTTATTTAAAAATGAAGCTTAATTATATAATATTTCTTTGATTATTAAAACCTCAAATTTTTATTAGTGAAAAATAGAATATTGTTGTCGTATGTCAAATAGCTATTAAGGGGTCCACCAAGAAAAAAAGAATGGAAAAAGGGTCCATGGCTAAAAATAGGTTGAGAACCACTGACTTAGAGCTACAAAGGATAGGAACTTGTGGTCAACAACAGCGTATAAACGAAGACGCTAGTACATGAATAACATTCTCGTGTTAAATTACGTGATTAGTTGTCGATGGTGATTGCTATATATTTAGAAACCTAATTTAAAATTAATCTCGAAGACACTGAGACTAGTTTTTAAAACATTATGTATTATAAATGCAGATTTCCAATTGAGTTTCTCGTAATATCCACCAATCAGAGCTGAACACGTGATTTTTATCAGTTTTTATTTGATACTAAATCGTCTCTTTTGTTATAAATGAAATGTATTTGTGCAAAGCAAAGGTCGTATAATCATAAGTATATCAAAATTTATTGTTTAACGTTACCGGGAGTTAGCGGGTCGTCGTATACTGACCTTTAGACACATTACAAAAAAGAGCTATTTTTGAGTCTATATGTTCATTAAAAACGCCCCTGTTTGATAAATGGCTTTGTCAAAAAAAAAAAAAAAAAAAAAAAAAAAAAAGGCATTTTCACTATTAGTATTAATGTTATGTTGAATTATTTTCAGCAGTTACCAATTTTTAACTCGTAATATTTCAATCTTACTTTCAGTTGCATTTCATCGCAACTATTTAGACCGACTCAGTTTACTAATTGATCGTTAGTCTATGGTCAGTAGTAAACAAGTAAGCAGTTATCTTGGAAAGATAATTACACTTCTTAAACAGTAAATATCTTGAAACAAAAAAGAATAAGATCGATAGTCTGAACATTTTATGCATTGATAATTATTCTTCTTAAAATTATATTAAATATCTTGAAAGAAAACGAATAAGACTGATAGTCCGAGCATTTCGTATTTCTTAAAGGTATATTAGGTATAGCACTTTGAGAATATAAGCTACACCACTGGATAAACGTACTCCTATTTTGAAGACACATATTCCAAAAAATAAAATCTAGAGTCGTATTTCATACATCTTATTGAACAAAAATTCAAACTAATACTTGAAAAATTAGTATAAATTTTGCTAAATGCAAAAGAGTTGAAAACAACAACAAAATAAAAGTAAATTAAAAAAAGTGATTTGCACTTATTTAATTTTGCTCAAAACCTACAAAATCCTAATTGCTTTCAGTATCACTTGGTAAGGAATTAAACTGTTCATCCCTGGATCCAGTATTATGATGAAAGAGAACGTCATCCTCGGTCTGGTCTTTTTCTTAAATGAATTAAGCACTATATCACGTTCCCGCGAATTCGCTACGCACACATGATAAAGCGTCTGTCTTCCTTTCCAGTAAGGGGGGGGTCGTAACAAAACGTTCCGACCGAATTAGGTTGGTGTATTCCATAAATATTGTTATAAATATCACCTTTAAATGAACTAAGCTATGCATACCTATTTAAATATATTTACACATGACCTGTACACACATACACACACACGCACGCACACCCATATATAATTATATGCATATAATATATATCGCATTTATGTGTGTGTGTTTCATTGTGTGCAACTTCTAAAAGATTCTGCTGAGTTTGCTCACAGGAAAAAAAGAGTGTTCTATGCAATAATAAAATTATCTTTGAAATATAGCTCTGCTATTTACTGTGACATCAAGCACTCTTTTTTCTTGTGTGCAATCTTAGCAGACTCTTTTGGGAGTTGCTTATTTTGATTATTACAATGGTTTATACTGGGGGGGGGGGGTTTAAGGGCCCAGTATTATCAAGAACTTTTTGCTTAATGCAGTCAACTCCTTCAGTGGGGTACCATTGTTCTCGATGGCATTGAGAATTCTTTTGACACACGGGAGAACCATTTCCAACGTTTGTTTGTTTTTTATTATTATTAATCGTGAATTTACGACATTTTGGTCGGGTGCGTTCACTTCCCCCCTCCCCCGGTGAGTTTGGTTGTTGTGTGCATGATATACACTCATCTGTTACATGATATACACTCATCTGTTACTGGATCCAACCGGAAGACGCATGGTACATGGAACTAGAACAGTCTACCCCGGTGGACGAAATATAGGGTTCAGTTCGAAATTCCAATCACCTGAAGAAGGCCGGAGCGTACAACGGCCGAAACGTCGTGAATATGGTAATAAAGACGAGGACAACAGCCCGAACAATGTAAATAACTTCGTCGTTGCTCACATATTCGGTTCATGGTATTCTCAGCATCCTTCTGTAGGAATACATTTCTGTTGCCTCAAGTCTTTTTTTCATCCACGAAGAGATTGTCCATCATTCACTGTCATATAGGAGGACTGAAGCTCATAGCAGATCATAAAATATGGGCGATATGGAAATGACATTAAATACAATATAATGAATCGACTCGCCTGACCTTGGGTTCGCTCCTTATTGTCGATTTTATTGATAGGTACATGTACAAACGTGCTCCATGAAACTAAAAGACGAATGCCCCCCCACCACCACCACCACTGCAAAAAAACAAAAACAAAACAAAACAAAAAAAAACGCCAAATTCCGTACCTCGGTCTTTTCACGCCTAAACCTGAAATATTCCGAATGCTAATGAATTCAATAGGAATATTAAACGAATATAAACAATCGTCAAGTGATCAGAAACGCAAAAGATGCTAGATTTCTAACCATGAGTATGGATCCGCCCTCTCTATGCAGGAGTGGGGGGGATCTTTTGACTGTTACGCATGCTTAGCAAGCACAATAGAAATTTCATGAAAATTCCGAGATCATTTACCCTTGAAAAGAAAAATAAACGAATACAACACAAAAGCAGGACGAACGAACGAAGAAGGTAGGCTCTAATAATGTTTGTTTGGTTGAGAAAGCTGTACAAAAAGACATTAAACGAAATAGCGACAGCAGCAGCAGTCCAGTGCCTCTGCTACCTCTTTTTAATGGAGCTATGGTCCTCTTTATAGGTGAAAAGAGTGGTGAACACTGGCAGCCTAGTATCGGACGTTGGCATGTCCAGACGGGCCCAACGCCGAGGAGGACTGGTTGTTGTCGGGCGACCGTGGATTTGCTGCGTCTTTCGACTGACATGTATATCCTGTTATACATGCAAGCCAGCACAGGTCGGCTCGGAGCTCACAGGGTATACTTAGGAGGCCTACAATAAAGGTGCCGTTCAAATATATACAGCTCAAGTGTGTCGGACTTGGTTCTAATGCCTACCGATCAAAGCAGTAAGTTCGTCTTTCATATTGTATCTTTTACCTAGTCTCTATTGTACGTATAAGCTCTTTATATCTATAAAGTGGGGAGAATAAAAAGTAGGTAAGTGTTTTGCTTGTAAACACGTATGCTGTCCATGTGTGTGTTTTGTGCTGTTAACTGATTTATAAGTTAATTTGACTTTTTTTTTTAAAAATACGCTGATGAAAATCTTTTTTTTTGTTTTCAATTTTTTTTTTATTTATTAGGAAGCAAGTTATTACATTTTTTTAGTTTGAATTCTGCGCAACTTGCCACATCACTATCAACGCAATTTATAAATGTTTACACCTGTACCTTCAGCTGTTCAGTAACAGAGCGGTTCAATAAGACATAGTGTCCAGTAAAATGAATATATATATATATATATATATATATATATATATAAGTGTGCGTATGGATATATCACTGTTTGGTAGTACAATCTTGGCTTCCGTTAGTGATTTGAGGAGAGTAAGCAAATATTAAAGACTGTTTTGAAAGAAGAATTTCGGGAACAGCTTTTCGCTCGATTTACTGGTGAAGTTCACCAGAGGAGAAGATGGCGAAAGCGTCTGAATTGGTTGCGTTGATGTCGATATTACACACATTACTTTGATAGGCCGAAAGCGGTGGCAGCCGGAGGAGGGGGGAAACGTAGAACGAATTGAATAGAATATTCTTTGGATATGTGTTTATGTTAACGAGCAATATGTGCAAGATCCCTCACTTTCTCTGTCTTTAAAACGCACACTAACTTTCTATTTCTCTGTCTCTCGTCCTCTCTATCCTACTTCTCTCTCTCTATCTCTCTCACGCGCGTGCACGCGCATTAGTTGGGCACAAAATTATCAAAGTATCAGATAGATTTCTAAGGAAAATAAAGGAATCATTTTTATTTCATCAAATAATTCTAATTAGCTAAAGTGATCATCAACGTCTTTGATTATTTCAATTATCGAGATCTACACATGTAGATCGATATTTCAGTTGTCGGGATAAATTCATGGCGCTATTTTTTTTTTTTTTTTATTTCTCTCTCATGTGTTTGTGCTTGTTTATGCTATGTGAAAAAGCACGAGACTGACCGCATATAGAAGTGACTATATACGCCCGCTCACACACATAGACGTAGATAGATAGATAGATAAAAATGTTTCATTTCGCTAAAAATTAAGTCAAAATGGTATTTCTGGAAGATGACATATTTATGTCAAGCAATTTTATTTCATATATATATATGGGGGGGGCGTGCGTGTGTGTGTATATGTAGAGAGACAGAGAAAAAGAGAACAAGAAATATATATATATATTTCTCTATATTTCTCTCTCTCTCTCTCTCTCTATATATATATATATATATATATATATATAGAGAGAGAGAGAGATGAACAGAAATAGATAGATAGATAGATAGATAGATATGACGCAAATATTTCTTTATACACGCAAAAATCTTTCCCCAGAAACAGATTTTATTACTTTGCACAGAATATAAAAATGAATGTAAGAATAGGTACATCTTCACCCATTAATCTTTTTTGCAGTTGTCACATTTAACAAGTGGGTGGTGTTAATTAACACACACTCAAAACAAGGATCCCCCACATATACAAACACACACACATACTATATATATATATATATATATATATAGTGTGTGTGTGAAGTTTTAAATGAATACTGACTGGGTCAGGGCAATAAAAATAGATAAATTGTACGTAGATGGATAAAGGGAGTAAGAGAAGTTGGGGATTAATACAGTAAATAAATATGTTCTAGATTAATCTAGCTTACTCGTTCAATTATTATTATTGGTAGTAGCAGTAGTAGTAGTAGTAGCAGTGGTGGCAGTAGTAGTCCCTCACTGAGTATTCATACCAGTAAACTCTCGCCTGGTAACCTGCTGTTGATCTTAAGAGACAGTAGGTTTCCGTAATACGTCAGCACCCTTCTCAGAATTATAGCTATTTTCAATAATGAAATCGTCTGGATGCTTACAAATCTTCCTTAATGGCTAATTCCTCCAGTTTCCCCCTTTCGGACAATTCACAATACTCCGATAACATGACTGACCTTCACAATTCCCTATCAATTTCCGAGATATTTATCTTTCTTTCAGATGATATTATTATTGTTATCATTATTATTGTTGTTGTTTTTCTTGTTATCATTGTTGTATTTATTGTTTTTGTTGTTGCTGCCTTTTTGGATAGCTTCTTTGATTTTATTAGTTGGTTTCGCATTTAATTGGATACCAAGCTACCTTCCACAGCCTTGAGTATCCAAAACTGATTATTCGAGCAGTGCTAAGCAAACAGGCCTTCTGCAACGCATATTAACACACTTGATAATCTAATTCTTTCTCTGAAACTGTTCCCAGTCCAATTACAATCGGAAGAATCTCTATCTCTTGTTCTGGCAATTCTATTTTCTCTTTACTTCGTACTTGAGGTCCACATATTTCTCTATGTTCTTTCTTTCTTTCTTTCTCGACTACTTTGGTATCAAACGGACAAGTAACGTCAATAGGGTAACAAACCCGGCCTTCTTTGCTGGGATCAACCATATTATTATTTTCATTGATTTCTGTTGTATACACATTTCCTTCCGGGTCCCAACGAGAGGCCTAAGGTCAGAAATGGCTTCATGACATTTTCCACTGACCATTATTGTAAAAAAACAAACAAAAAACCCCCTAAAAAAACCCTAAAATCACACACACATTTTCCATAGATAAAGGTCTTCGTAATGTGTGAGCTGTACTTGTGAATTCAATTTTTGTATTCTTTTAAGTTTTGGGCTATCAGTAACCCCTTCAATGAGTCTATCAGAAGCTTTGTCAATCAATCCGAGGGCTCCAACTACAAACAGAATTATTGATATCCTCATGTGCCACATTTGTTTAGTTTTCCATTTCAAGATCCTTGTATTTTGATATTTTTTAGGAAAATCTTCAAAGATACATTACAATTTGCGGGCACCTTGAGGTGGCGTAATGGTTAGCAAGCTTGCCTCACTATAACTATTACGACTGAGTAGTGAGTTCGATCCTCACTGGGTACCCCATACTTTCGGTCTTGTGCCACATCTGAGCTACGCTTGGAAAATCACTACATTACAATTTGCAGGGACTATCATATCAATAAGGAAGTACATTCAGTTCTTGTGGTCTTTGATCACGAAGTCTGGGCGATTAGGTTTGTTTGTTCTGTCTGTGTGTATTGTAAAATCCCGTAAAATTGTTACAGGTCCTATCTCTGTAAACAGGTCTGGGTGATGTTCATACCAGTTTCTTGCAGTTTCCTTCCCGTAAAATTTGCATATTTTCCAGTGCAGATATTGGGCCCACTCTATCATGCTGAGTTTTATATTCAGTTGGTGCTAACACTATGCAGCCTGATGCAAGTGGGTCAATTGTTTCTGGATATTTATCACAGAATCTGCATTTGTGGTCAACACAATTTTTCAGTACGTGTGCTTGGCAATTTCTTATTAGCAAACATTGGTTCTGTGAAGCAAGAATAAAACCTTCGGTTCCAGCTTTTAACCCCGCACTATGTAACCATTGATGGGTACGAGGTTTAGTTACATCAGCTTGTTTGATACGGGCAGAGTATTGACCATGAAGTGGCTTATCTTGGCATCGTTTTTGCATTTGGTGCATTGCATTTGCTTTTACTTTCTTTTTTAGATTCTTTGTCGCTGCAACAGGCGTGTTATGGTTTACTTGCATTTCATCGACCATTATTATTATTATTGTTATTATTATTATTATTATTATTATTATTGATGTCCTCATGTGTCACATTTTTTGAGATTTCTACTTCAAAGATACATTACTATCTGCCATGTAAATAAAAAGCACATTCTGTTTTTGTGATCTTTGATCACGAGGTCTGGGCGATTAGCTTTGTTCCCTGTGTGTGTGTGTGTGTATTGTAAAGTTCCATAAAACTGCCACAGACCCTGTCTGGGTTATGTTCATACCAGTTTCTTGCAGTTTTCTTCCCGTAAAGGTTGAAAATTTCCAATGCATATATTGGCCCACTCTATCATGCTGAGCTTTATATTTTGTGGGTGCCAACACCGTGCAACCTGATACAAGATCGTCACTTGTTTCTGGATATTTATCACAGAATCTGCACTGATGGGTAGGGGGTTTGGCTGCATCAGCTTTTTTTTAGTACGGGCAAAGTATTGACCATAAAGTGGCTTACCTTACCATCGTTTTTGTATTTGGTAGATTTGCTTTAGCTTTCTTTTTAGGTTCTTTGTCCCTGCAATAGGTGCATTATGGTGTACTTGCACTTCTTCGCCTATTATTATTATTATTATTAATATTTTTTTCTTCTTCTTCTTCTTCTTCTTCTTTTATTGCTTTCTGTTCAGTCCAATTCCTTACAGGGTCATATTATGATATTACCAGGTCCTCATCCGTGAACTAGGTTATGTCAAGGTAGAAAATATACGCATTCTGTTTGCCCAAATTCTGATGCTAAGTGATACTTAACATGTAAAGTATATTTTCTTTACATTGATAAGACTTTCCCGAGTAAATATGTAATTCCACACCTTTTTTCTTGTAAAAAAGAGCTGCCAAGGATCTTGTTATTATTCTTGTCATACCTTTTTTTATTACACCCAGGGATCCAGTTTTATAGATATAACTTAACAATATATTTAAGGTGCCATATTTTTTCAACGTCAATATTAAAATCTTTATATTTACTTATTTTATCATATTCTTTAACGAGTATATTTTTATCTGATAGCACAATCATATCTATGTGGAGGTATTTTATTTGTTTCGGGACTTTAATCACCATATCTAGTCTATCGCTTTATAGTCAAACAGTGACTGGGGCTCATTTATTCAAATATCCGAAAAAATAGATAATTAAAGATCAACGGTGTATATGCCTTTACATTTGTGCCAAATTTCGAATAATTCATTGAGAAATGCGCCTTCCATAACAAGAAATGCATTACTTTTTTACATAATCTCGTATATGATTGTCAGTATGTTAAAGTTCCAAATAATAGTGACTTCTTAGCTTTCTATGAGTGGTCCAAGATGATGTTTATCCTGTTTTCCGTGCGCACTATAATAATCACATACAACCTGTTGAGTATATTAACCGATTTTATCATGCTGATCTTTCACTTCCTTCCGTGTTAGGATTGGTCAGCCTGTCAGTAAGACAGGCTGACCAATAGTCTCAACATGTTCCTTACATAATCTACATACTGTTTTAGCACCATTCTTTATGAGATTTACCTGGTTATTCCTGTTAAAGAGAATTGGTCTCTGTGCAACCATTATAAATACCTCTGTTTCTACTTTCAGCCTTAAGCTATTCAAATACTAATGGCTTTTGTGTTTATTTACGCCAGCATCATTACTTCTGAGTGCATTTTGGTCATTTTTTTTATTTCTAGATGATTTTGAAAATTATTTAACTTTTGTGCATCTATTTTATAAATTAAACCGCATTTGTTATTGGATATTTTAACAGCCCTTTAAAATGATGTTGAGTTCGTTTAAGAATTTATTGTTTTCTTTTATAAAACAAAATTTGACTTTTTCCATGACTGTTAACAAGTTGTAGCTTCCAATCTGATATGGTCTCTAAATATTTTTGAAACTATCACTTGCTTCCTGATAGCTATAATCTTCAAATATTCAAATGTAATGTCAATCGACATCTTCTGATGCCTTGACCTTGATCCCTGTCCTTTTCTTTGTCCTTTTCTCAAACACTTCTATTTACTCTTACTCTCAACCCTCTGTAACCCCTTGCGTGCTAGTGGTACTCCCGCCTTGCTTGGGGCAATTTGCTTAAAAAAAAAAAAAAAAACAATACTTGTTATTTTCTTTCTCAACCCTTATGGATTACTCTGTCCAGGCCCTATGAGATCCCCTCATCATAAATAATGGATAAAGATCAGTCATAAAATGGGTGTCTTCAGAACCCATTTGAATATCGTGGTATGAAACCCATTTTTTATCACTTATTTAAAAAAAAACCGGTTATTTAGAATGATACAGTCATAATTAGAAGTAGAAAAAAAACAAATGAACAGGTTTCGTTTCTCATTCTTCGGATATTTTGAAAAGAGTGTCTACAGAGGCTAAAAAAGGGTAATTAATGAAGACAGGATACACACATATAGTAAAAATATATATCTATCTATCTATCTATATATATATATATATATATATATATATATATATAAAGGCGACATTAAGGTTCCATTATAATAATTTATTTCACCAGAGCCCTTTTAAAACATAAATCATCAGATAGCTCTTCCAAGAGATAAAACGAAAATGAAATGAAAAATTGATAGGTAGTGTAAGTTTTTGTAATTTAACAGAGAGTGTAACACAGAGACATGGTAAGTTTAGAGAGGGTTTAATTTAATTTTCTCTCAATCATTTATATGTGTGTTCTGTGTGTGCCCCCAAACAAGTTATTTCAGAATTAAAACTGCTTTTTCTGATTACAGAAGAAAGAC